TGGCGATGCTCCGGCTGTTTGCGGCGGGCGGCTTGCTGTCGCTGGATGGCGAGAAACTCGTCTCGCCACACCCAGAGACAAAACTTCTGTGATGCCATGCGTGACCTAGTAGTGTCCCCAGCTATGGGCGTGTCCACGTTGAAGCCAGGTGTGGTGTGGGCGCGAGAATAGCTCCGCCGTTCATGGAGGCAACCGATGCGAGTCGACTGGTGTGTGTCGTCGTGGTTTCGTATCAAGAATTCTCTCTCACGCTAGACAGATGATGACGACACGCACGAGCGACACAAAGACACAAACAGGCTCACAAGACACACAGCCAGCTGGCTGCCACACACCCTGAGTTGGCGTACACATAACTCAAGGCCACATCCTCCCTGTTATTCGAGACAAAGGAGAAAAAAATAGCACACTCATTGAACCGCACGCCGAGTTTGGCCCGACGAGAATCACAACGTATCTCGTGCGTGCGTGACCGCCAATGGCCTCCAGTTTCTTGTCCCTCCTCCTGTTCACCACCACGGTGCGGGGCGATCCTGGGCACGCCCCCGGCTCGGACGTGGCCCAAAAGACCGGCAGCGGCGGCGTCGGCGTCGGCATCGGTGGCCAGCAGGCAACACAGGCGGTGCTCTCGACCACGCCACGCGCCCGGCGCTCGCTCGCGAGCACGCCAGCGTCACCGCCATCGGCGCCGCCACCTTCCAAGCCGCCGCCGCCGCCCGCACCGCCGCCGCCGCCCAGTCCACCGCCGCCGCCGTCACCGCCGCCGCCGCCCTCACCGCCGCCACCGCCTCCATCCTTGCCGCCGCCGCCCATACCGCCGCCGCCCTCACCGCCGCCGCCGACCAGTCCGCCGCCGCCGCCCTCACCGCCTCCACCGCCCTCACCGCCGCCCTCACCGCCCTCACCGCCGCCCTCACCGCCTCCACCGCCCTCACCGCCGCCGCCGCCCTCACCGCCGCCGCCGCCCTCACCGCCGCCGCCGCCCTCACCGCCGCCGCCACCCTCGCCGCCGCCGCCGCCCTCGCCCCCGCCGCCGCCTCCATCCTTGCCGCCGCCGCCCTCACCGCCTCCACCGCCCTCACCCTCGCCGCCCGCTGCCCCACCTCCCTCGCCGCCTGCCCCGCCGCCGCCCTCGCCGTCGCCTCCCCCGCCGTCGCCTCCCCCGCCGCTCCCGTCTCCGCCCTCGCCCTCGCCTCCTCCGCCAGCTCCGTCGCCGCCCTCGCCCTCGCCTCCTCCGCCGCTCCCATCGCCGCCCTCACCGTCGCCTCCTCCGCCAGCTCCGTCGCCGCCCTCGCCCTCGCCTCCCCCGCCGATCCCAACGCCGCCCTCGCCCTCGCCTCCCTCGCCGCCCCCTTCCGCTCCGCCGACACCCTGCGGTTGCGACGCCGACGCCCCGTGGGATCCCCCCGGGGGGGCAGGGGCGGCGCAGGGCGCGTGTCGGACGGCGGACGGCGGCTTCGGAAACTACACGGAGTACCGCGGCTACGGCAACCTGACGGAGTGCAAGGCTCTGTGCTGTGACACCCCCGGCTGCGTGGCGATCGAGTTCACGGCGGACTCCGGGAAGTGCGAGATCCACACAGACAACGTGACACGCACTGAAGACATCAGCCGCTACGACCACAACTGCTACGTCAAGCATCCACCTTGCCCGCCCTCACCGCCGCCGCCACCATCGCCGCCACCGCCTCCAGCCTCGCCGCCGCCGCCCTCACCGCCGCCGCCGCCCCCGTCGCCGCCGCCGCCCTCACCGCCGCCGCCGCCCTCACCGCCACCGCCGCCCAGTCCACCGCCGCCGCCCTCACCGCCTCCACCGCCCTCACCGCCGCCCTCACCGCCTCCACCGCCCTCACCGCCGCCGCCGCCCCCGTCGCCGCCGCCGCCCAGTCCACCGCCGCCGCCCTTACCGCCGCCGCCGCCCAGTCCACCGCCGCCGCCCTCACCGCCTCCACCGCCCTCACCGCCGCCGCCGCCCAGTCCACCGCCGCCGCCCTCACCGCCGCCGCCCTCACCGCCGCCGCCGCCCTCAACGCCGCCGCCGACCAGTCCACCGCCGCCGCCCTCAACGCCGCCGCCGCCCAGTCCACCGCCGCCGCCCTCACCGCCTCCACCGCCCTCACCGCCGCCGCCGCATCCGTCGCCGCCGCCGCCCAGTCCACCGCCGCCGCCCTTACCGCCGCCGCCGCCCAGTCCACCGCCATTCTGTGCCACCTCCGCAACCCTCCTTGCCCCCTGGGGACGCACGGCTTCCCCCGCCCCCCTCCGCCTCGCCGTCGCCGCCGCCTCCCTCCGCCTCGCCCTCGCCGCCGCCTCCCTCCGCCTCGCCCTCCCCGCCGCCGCCATCCGCATCGCCCTCCCCGCCGCCGCCGTCCGCCTCGCCCTCACCGCCGCCGCCGTCCGCCTCGTCGTCGCTGCCGCCTCCCTCCGCCTCGACCGACCCGCCGCCACCATCCGCCTCAACCTCCCCGCCGCCGCCAACCACATCGAACTCGCCGCTGCCACAGTCCTCCTCGG